TTGCCGGCGGAGATTCGCCGCTCCAGTCCGAAGTCGCCGCCGGAGGAGCGGCCGGCGCTGGTGGCGAGGCTGATGGGACTGGAGGCGCCGCCGGATACGGTGGCGGAGAAGAGGCAGAAGCTGCTCGGGGCTTTGCAGAGGTGCGACGAGGATCTCAAGGCGCTGAAGAAGATTATCGAGGCCGTGCGTTTGACCGATCCGACGACGCCGGCGGTGGTTTGCGGTGGCTTTGAGGATAAATGCAGGACGGTTTCGGAGGTGAAGTGTTCGGTTGTTAACGTGGAGCAGCAACAACCGAGTCCGGTGTCTGTGCTCGACGAGTTCACTCGTTCGCCACTCAGTCCGAGTTACCACTCCGGACGGCATTCATTTGGTAAGCGTCCTTTGGTTTTTTTCTCATCAATTTTTTTATTAAATTAATTTAAATTTTTAATTCGGGTTTAATATGGCCATTGAAAACGCGTTTTAATTGCCTGCCTACAAATTCTGGTGAAGTCCACTATAATTGAATTTCTCTTTATTTTAATTATTATACCATAGATGCTAGTCTTTTTTCAAGACATGCTTATAATAAAGTAGCTTAATTATACTTTTGCATAATTAATTAATTACACATTCTGCATGAACTCATGAAGTATCATTTGCTTCGTTCATTGCGAATCAATAATTAATGAACTTTAATACTTGCAAATTTTGTTAACATTTTGCAAGCAAACTAGTTTTAGTTTTGGATAATACACAGTCCATTTGTTTTGTAGTGAATTTGGGTGGTAGGAACTAGGAAATAGGAAAGAAAGAAAAAAAAAAGTGATAGTAATTAGAAATTGAGTGATGATATACTCTTATTCTTTTTAAGTGTATGAAGAAATAAAGGAAGCGAGAGAATTTGATAAATATAATAAATCACATGATGGAAAAAGAGATTAGAAGAAAAATAAAATGGATATGAAATGTAAACGAAAGTATGATGTATCTTCCTAAGTAATATGATAAAAGAAAAATGAGATGGAAGAGAAATTTTCAAGGGATTTTATAATAACTCTAGTTTTAGGTGTTACTTATGCGCCTTCAATATTCCTTGTTACTGTTAGTAGCCTTTTTATTATTATTTTTTTGTGTGGTTCTTTAACAATAAGAAATAGGATTTAAATCAGTAGATGATTACCACTTTAAATTGATTTTCATCTCATCTTTTGCACATTTTTTAAGTTGATGTGTCAATTTTCAAAAAAGTACTTTTTTTCTTCCTTTAGTTAGGTATGAAATGACTAAAGTAGAAAAAGAGCGGGCACGGATAATTAATATTCTTCGTTGTTATATTTTGGATTAATAGCAAAATTATTTTCTTTTTAATGTTTGAGATCAGTAGTAAGATTATGCGAAGACAAAAGTAGAGTTTAAGTATTATTAAAATTAATATTTACGTAGCATATATATGCCGATTAGAAAAAACTTAAGTCATTTTGTGAAAGCACATTCACAATCCCTAAGCTGGAAAGAGCCATTGTTTGTGATTAACTTTGATGGCTTTGAAGGAATTACTTATCCAAGAGACAATGATCTCTGATCGAAAAGCACAAGCTGGCACTATCCATGATTTTTAGGATTCCTAGATTGAAATCATAACTTATTGTATTTCACATCATCATGACCAACATAGTGGGAGACAAATTAATTTCTTCTTACCTCTGCAATCATCCTGCACCCATTTAAACATAAAGTGATCCACAGCCATCTGTTAGGATGGAAACAGTGAATAATTACACTATTCCAAATGTTCTTTCTATGTACCTTTCACCATACATATGTAACATTTTCCATATTCTCAATCCATCAATTACTATGCGTTTATAACTAGAAACGAAAATCAAATTAAGAAGCCCAAACGATGCCTCTTTTTTTCTTCCTCGGATCCAAAATAATAAAAGTAATAAATTGTGGTACTTTGGTGGATGGACCTTGGACCACAATTTGTACCCTAGAGACTATGCCTCATGTCTTGAGGCAGTCAAAAGATATTCAAAAGAAAAAGGAGGGTGGAGAGAGAAAAGAAGACACCTATCTTTGGAGCTTTACCTGCCACTGGCCATGCAGAAACACACTTTTTCAGGGATTTGTTAATTTATAGCCCCACCCACCCACCTCTCTCCCCCAACAACCAAGAGCGCACGCAGGTACTAAACTGCTGCAGCTACATCCATGCGGGTTGAGGATAATATTGCCTTCCCTCATTGTGTTTTTGGAAGATATCACTGCAGCCACCTCCAATTGTGCTGTAGAAAATGTACATTCGTATTTATTGATTAAATAGCACATTAATAACACATTTCCTTCCTTTCAAAGTATTTTTTGTTTAATGTAATGTACACAATTTTAAATATTATGAATTACACTCATTATTATGGTAAAATAGCATTTTTAACTAGAATATCCTTGTTAATAAAGCTAAAATGTATTCTAATAAGGCTACTTTTTTCTTTTTTAAGTACTTTCTTAATTAAACTTGCATATTTTTTAAACAAACTAAAATTTATTGGGTAATTTGGAAGAGAGAGAATGCATTTCAAAGGAATTAAAAAGTTAAACTAAAATCTTATTATGAACGATCAATATTAAAATGCACAATTTATGTAAAAGTCATGATTTTTTTTTAGTAGTCACAACACATTAAATCTTAACCATCCATATATAGTTATATCATCTAAATTTACTTTTTACACTCTTATATTAAAATACTCTAACTCGCTAGATATGACTCTTTCAATTAAAAATATAATGATAAATTGAAAACAAATTATATAATTTCCTAGTTAATTTATGTTAGTTATTTATCTGCATTAGTTAATTTTTCTATTATTTAAGTATCTGTTCAAATTCATTCATTTTAATATAACTCTTATTCTCTTCTTTTCTTTTCCTCTGAAAATCACTCTCCATAACTTATAAAAAAATATTAAAAATAACTAACCTCTAGAATTTGTTTTATTTTTAAATTATCTAATATGTTTTTTTATATATAAATATTTATTTAGAAAAACATAAATAAAAGTAGCCCATATAGTTTCCAAAATATATATGTATGATGAATGTAATCCAACAATGCTTGGCATACCTAATCTTAAGCATTAGAGTAGAAACTATTAAATATATCCATAACATGATGTACTTGTGTTTTGTGTATCTATCTATAATCGATTAAAACTTAATATGACTAACGTGGATGATGATGGCATTAATTTCCGTGTGCAGCGCGAATTCAGCATCAGAAGCAGCAGTTGTTAAGGAAGCCAGGAGAGGAAGAAATATACGTCTATGAGAGAATGGGAAGCGAATCAGTGAATAAGAAAGTGAACGAGGAAGATGATTTGGGCATCTGGAGTAGCAAAGCCATGATAAAAAGTGTGGATGAAGTGTGTAGAGACGTTGCTTGGGGAGAAAAGAGAGAGGTTGGAAGAATTGGGTTGGCTTTGCAGGATTATATCTACAGGGATTTGATTGAAGAAATTGTTAGAGAATTAGGATGCTTTTACACTCTGCCTTTTGAGGCCTGTAAGAGAAGACTATGCTTCTAAGCTATACATTGCATACATGCTCATAATTATTCTCTTCTTTTTTACTTTTCCCTCCTTTTCTGTTCTCCCAGTTAAACTTATATTGGCTTTACAAATTACATTGAACTCGTGCATCAAAATGTGCAATTTTTATTATTACTTATTTATAAAAATTCTATTTTAATTTAAATAAATTACTTATTTTTAATTTGAGTTAAAAAAGAGTATTCACACTATAAGTTTTATAAAAAAGTAATTTTACCATAACATAGTTGTATAATGTTCTCGGTTTATTCTAACTTGTATTTAATCCATCTATGTCATTTAATTTTTACATTTACGAAAAATAAAAGGTAAATAAATATAAAAGATGTTGTACTTTAAAATTAAAGTACAAGCATTCAAATAAAGAAGTCGCGTGCATAATAAAATTTTCCTTATTCATGTAATATATTTCAAATAAATAAGTAAAAATGACATAGATGACGTTAAATAAAAGAATAAATTTAAATGGTTTAAATAAGTTTTTGATAAGTCATATTTGAGTTTAGTTTTTTTTTTATTTCTAAAATTTAAAAGTGATTATTTTTATCTTCCTAATTTAAAAATAGTCCACCTTAGGTATTGAAGGTTTTTATTTGATATTTTTTACTCTCTAATATAATAACAACTAAAAGTGAGTTATTTTAAATTATTGGAACAAAAATAACTACTTTAAATTTGAGAGAGAAAAAACACTACATTTGAGAATATAAAAAGATATTAAGTTAATTTAAATTTAGAAAAAAGTATGTTTTGTTTTGAAAATGGTCATATTTGGTTAAGTCCTTTTACTTTTATTAGTTAGAATTAAATCCAATTTCTCTCATGTTTTATAATATATTTATATTAGGGATGAAGCAAACGATCCATAACTTCACCATAAATCTTTAAAAATGTTGGTGGTTAGCTCTAGATTAGCCTGAAATCATGTCTTCCTCTAATTTAAACTTTTTTCTAACAAAAACAAAGAATAAAATATTTTTTAGTTCTTCTAAAATTTTGTAAGTTTGATTTTAGTCCTAATTTTGTGATCCTATTCTAACCCTCTTTTTTTTTTTTTTTTTTTTTTTTTTTTTTTTTTTTTTTGTAAATAATGATGAATAAACTAAAAAGAAAGAGAATTATATAGTCGTAGAAATTGCAGTCTCATAGCATCAACATAAAGAAGTGGTTTCAAGTCATTAGGAGGGGATTCCAATTTAGATACCTATAACTATAATTTGAACCTAGATTAGCCAAAAAAAAATCAGGACACTTATTACTCTCAAAGTATGATGCAACCTAACATTCCAATCTCTAGCTAACAACTCTTGAATATTCTGCCTATTTTAGTCCCTTTTAATTTGGAAGAACATTATTTTGATATTCAAAGTAGTTTAAATAACATTTTATAACCATTTTTTAAGTGCATCTAAAGTACTTGGAAGATTAAAAGTGATGCATTTTTAAATTAAAGTGATTAAATAGGATGAATTTTTTTTTGAGAAACTAAAACAAAATTTCGATAATTCTAAAGAGACTAAAACTATATTTTACCTTTAAATTTATTATATTGATAAAAAAAGTTAAATTATATTTTTAGTCTTTTATATATCTTATTTTTTAGATTCATTTTGTTCTTTTTATCTTTTATATTTGGATCAATTTGATCATTATTTTAAAATAATAATCCTTTTCAATTTTTTGATATGATTTTGAATCTATTACAACTAATTCAAGACATGAAACTTGTAACATTAAATTTACCTATATGAAAATTATAAAATTCAATTTATGTCTGAATCCTAAAGGAATATAAAACTTGTAACCTCATATGAAAAATATATTTTACGAACAACTAAAAGATAACATGAAATAATATTTTTGAATTTTTTGATTACTTTTTGAACTTATTTTTATGTGATATTTACCATGTTTATAACATTTTTTTTATTTAAACTTTAATTGCATTCAATAGTTTTCATATAAATAAATCTAACAACACAAGTTTTAAGTCTTGAATAAGTCAAAAAATTATTCAAAATCATGTTTTAAAATTGAAAACAATCATTATTTTAAAATGATAAAATTGACTCAAATTTAAAAGATAAAGGATAAAACTGAAACTAAAAGAATAAGATAAATGACTAAAAATATAATTTAACCTAAAAAAAATTTCTTCTAATTTATTAGTTATTTTACTATAATTTTACAACTTAAGTTTTATAGTCTAAGATTAAATTAAAAATGTCTCGTGGAAATAAAGAAAATAAGAAAATTTTCTACTCCCTGCATTGTGAGTGTAAGTCGCATTCAAAGGAGATAAGAAGTTAAAGAAAACATAAATAATGGACCAATTTAGAAAATAAATAAAATGAGAGCTTATAAGCTACGAATTCTTGATAGAATTCATTGAAAAACAAGACTGTGCTACTTGTAAGATTTCTATCATAGATCACATAGAAGACTAAGATCAATATTGGGCTGACATCAAAAGCAAGAAATTTCACTAAAGCCAAATTTTGCTCAAGCCAAAAAAATTCTCACTTAATCCAAATTTGGGTCAACAATAAGTGTTTGAAACCATATAAGAAAGAAAGAAAAAAAAGTGACAAAAGTTAAAAATCCACTTATGTTAATTTACAATTTTAATATCTTTATTTTTTTATAGTTTATATTATATTAATTTGATATTTTTATTCTATATGTAAACTTATTATTAATAGACATTGTTATATTTTATTAAAACTTAAACTTAAATATTATATTATACATGTAAACATTAAATGTTAAAAACTTATAAATATTTTATTTTAATTTTGTGTTATAAAATTAGAATATCATATTTATTTAATAGTAATTTTGTGTTGATAATAATTATTATTAATTTATTAATATTGGTTTGATAATAATTACGATGATTAATTTATTAAAATTTTGTATCTAAGTATTGTTCGCTTTGGCGTTCGTTGGGCCGTCACGGTTTTGTCTTTTAAAAGACGGCTCAGTGTGTTAAGGAGGAAAGGTATTTATAAACTATCTTTAGCCTCGACTTCTATGTGATGTGAGACTTTTAGACATACTGGAATAGTTTCTTTTAATTCTTTAAGGCATGATATAATTTTTTAAAAAAAATTATAAAAATTATATATGTGTATATTATATTTATTTGAGAAGAGTTTTTGAAGGGTGAAAGGAGAAAAGTGAGTTCAATTTTATTTATGGTAAAGAAAGAAAGAAAAAAGTAAAAAGGTTTGGAGTTTGGAGGCATGGATATAATAAGAAGGAGAGGTATTGTCGGAATGAAAAGTTGGTTTTGTGGGGAAACAAGGCATTGAAAGAAAGAGCGCAATGGCAGATCAACTGAGCGACGAACAGATCTCTGAGTTCAAGGAAGCCTTCAGCTTGTTCGACAAGGATGGCGATGGTATGCTAGCTAATGCTATATATATTTGTTAATTTGGTAGCTATAGATCTGTGAAATAAATGTGTATGATATATGAATATGAATATGAATAGGTTGCATCACGACGAAGGAGCTCGGAACGGTGATGCGTTCGCTAGGGCAGAATCCGACGGAGGCAGAGCTGCAAGACATGATAAACGAAGTGGACGCCGACGGCAACGGGACCATCGACTTCCCGGAGTTTCTCAATCTCATGGCTCGGAAGATGAAGGACACGGATTCCGAGGAGGAGCTCAAGGAGGCCTTCCGAGTCTTCGACAAGGACCAGAACGGCTTCATCTCCGCCGCTGAGCTCCGCCACGTCATGACCAACCTCGGCGAGAAGCTCACCGATGACGAGGTCGACGACATGATTCGCGAGGCTGATGTTGACGGCGATGGCCAGATCAACTACGACGAGTTTGTTAAGGTCATGATGGCCAAGTGATTCATGCTTCTTTCTTCTTTCTTCTTCTTTATATATTTAATCATACATTTCTTGTCATATTATAATATGTCACATCGCATAACACTCTAAGCTTAGTTAGAATCACATTCCACAGATCCAACATCAACAAAATCAAAATGAGAGGGAATCTGTGTGTGTATGAATAGTGATAGAAAGAGAAAATGTTTTTTTTAAGTATTTTTAAATATTAAATTTTTTAATTCCTTAATAATTAGCTTTCATTTTCCAAATCAACATAAAAGGAAGGATAATAAAGTAATTTGATTAATCGTTAATGCAATCATTAATAGTCTTTAAAATAACAATAATAACATATTGTTAAAGAAAAAGACTATTTGAAAGAAAAAAATAACTATTTGAATATTGTCTAAATAAAGAAAATATATAATTATCTCCAAAATAAATACTATAAAAAGAAAATAATATATTTATCTAAAAAGAGAAGAAAAAAATCTTGTTATGTTTCCAATAATTTAATACTATAAAAAAGAAATAATATTATTAAAAAAAATAACACTTGAATGCTATTATTTTTGCCGAGAAACTCTAAAAAAACCTAATATTAAAATATTATATATACTAAAAATATTTAAATTATATATATAAAAAATTGACAGATAAGGATAGAATGGAAGCATTTGTCTTATTTGATTGGGCTAAGAAATGGGGTGAAGAGAAATAATAGAACTTGCACGAAACATTTAACCCTATTGCTCACCTTTTTCATCTATATTCCACAACTAGAGAAGACAAATACTCACCACCACCTTGATAGAGGAACTTGTTGAAAGCCTCGTCAACTTTGTCAAACTTGACAGGGTATGTTTATAATAAAACAATGTGAACCTTGATATTTTAAAGTTAAATTTGTTAAAAATTACATTATTCCACAATTTGAACTTTGATATGAAATGATACAATCCAGCATGAATCTAAGTACGCACTTATAATCGTAATCTGTATGAAGTGCACTAAAATAAAATGAGGTAAATTACTAAGCTCGTTTAATAAACCTTTTACACTTGTTAAATTAAAATAAAAAGGTTGGTTAAATTGTTTGAACAAATGAAAAAATAAAAAACACAATCTCTTAAAACAATGTTTCTATGAATTACTTAAAATCCTCGCATTCATCTAGATTTTTTCTCCTTTTAGTTCATAACTTGGGTTCAACTTAAATCAATCCCCACACTTCTCTAACTTACATTCACCTAAGGATATAGCACAAGTTCAAATTCATCCATTTACTCCCAATGAAAATTACTCATTCATTATATAAAAAGCAGATGTTGAACCCGTCTTCCCAGGAGACATGTATCTCCACTCCCTCCCCTTTCTCTATCAAATTGTAAAAAAACTAAGCCAATAAAAAACTTCAACAATTTTAACAGTATAATCACAATCTTTTCAAACTTTTCTTTCTGGCGTCTATCTTCTTCTTGTCCACCTGAACCTTTGCCTGTCCACCTTCCTTCTTTTGGGGTGCACAAGCAGCAGACTTCACTGTAGCAGCGGTAGAACCACTAACAACTATCTTGGTCATAACAGCCGCTGCCTGATCCTGACTATTGCCTCTTGTTGCGGCGGTTACAGGAGCCGGCAATGGCAATGCAGCACTCGCCGGTGTGGTTTTGATGTCAGCACTATGCACCGAGGTGTTTGTCTGATCAACATTCAGGGCAGTTGTTGATTCGGATATAGCTCCGCTCTTAAACTTTGGCTTTGGTTTTGCATGGATTCCAGTGTAGAGCCTGCATGACATAAATGATAAAATTTATGCATAAGGGGAAAAAATTTATTAATCAAGTAGATGGAGTATAGTAAAAGTAGCAAGCAGAAACTAGATCCTGAATCTCAAGCATTTATCAGACTCAAGAAAATTTTTACACACGAAAAACAATTTGAATTGATCAAAATTAGTTTAACCCCTTGCAAAAACATAAGCATTGATATGTCTACATCTCAATACATGAAATAACTGAAATTTCTAGTGAAGAGTAGAGCAGCTAATGAAACGAAGCTTCAATGAGACAGACCCTGTTTGTTTTAGTTTTCACTTTTCAACAGGGTAAAGAATTTGCTTATGAATCCTATGGCTGGGAACAAATTCAGTACGTGTCCCAATGTGAGAAACAAGGAAGAATGAACTCTTTTATCTCAAATACTGGTGGTGTTGGCCACGATTCAAAACAAACATGTTGATAGTCAAGCTCAGGAAGGTAACATAAGAGGGTGATAAGGAAAATCAAAAGTAGATAACATGGGTGTCCAGCTGATGAACTTTGGCAGATCACGGAAGACAATCAGCATTTTGAATAAAAAAAAAGTAGGGGGAAATCCTCAATATAGGTCTTGCTTCAAGTTTCAATAGTCACAAAAGATTCCAGAACAGGGTTATACAAAAGAAGAATGCTAATGAGTGTCCCACTGTCTAAGGAAGCAGAATATTTAGTGAAAAGGAACATGTTTATTATATTAAATAAAAAACACTAGTTAAAGACTTGCTTTCTTAAGCAATTGAAAGCATCTAAACCGTAGATTCTAAACCAAAGCTTCATAAGTTAGGCTACTCATTAGTAAGATTCTAAACTTAGTAAACACCCAAAGTTTCACATTAAAGTTTCATAATTCTGGTACAAGAATAACTCACAGGAATGGATCATTGGCTTAACTTACCTAGCATGTCTAGCATACTCGTCATAATTTTCAAGCAGCAGTTTGCCAGCCTGTTCATTTAGAGCTGATTCTGGAAATGGTTCAATCAATAGACACCTAACCACCTGTTCAAAATGGGAATCAATGTTAATAAATAGAAAGACCGAACAAGCAAAACATAACTAAATAAATCAAGAATATCTAAAGACTTACAATAAGAACATGTCGTAACCCAAGGCTAGGATTCCAGTCCTTTTTAAGAGTGTTCACACAAATCTCTCCATTGTTTGCGATATTAGGATGGAAAATCTTCGTCAAGAAAAAACCTAAAACATCAAATTGAATGGCTTCATAAGTTGAACAGCTTTGCAACATACAAAGGAATATATGTGATTCTGTAGGGTATATAAATTTCTTTTGGTAAAATAAATAATAAATTCCATCTAATAAAAAAGTTTCATAAAGAAAGAATAACCAAATTAAAATTCCAAAGCAAAAAACAAACAGTATTATTCTGTCTCAATAATGTAACTAGCATATTATAAAATGGTTCATATGGGGAGTCTAAACACACCTTTAGGTGGAGAATGCGGGAAATCATGCGACAGCAACAGCTTCATTCGGAAAACTCCATTCTCATAAGGTGTTCCAGCTGCAAAATTATATCACTCTGGCTCAGCTCGAGTTCTTTTTACCAAATACCAAATGCTCAATCATACAACATAAATATAATAAGTTACTTACCAGGGCCTTCAATGTCAGCAAATATTGTTGAAAAATCATCATCATTCACCACAACTTTAATGCCCTCGGGAGGGGATTCATCGAGACTTTTCAACTCCTTGGCAAGTTGCTTTATTACATTTGGTGGAAGATTTTCATTAGTGGCCTAAACCAAAAACAGCATATTAGTAAAATGTAGGAATATTAAACACCCACCAAAATGGAATACAATAACCACAGCATATATGTTGAATATGACATGGTAGATTGATGGCACATGATCTGTATTAACATAACTCTAGTCATATCCATATGAGCATAAAAAAATGCATACCATCGGCACAAAGGCTTTTTGATTTTGTTGTCTCTAAGGAGGAATGGTCCTTCCCAAAATGAATTCTCAAATTTGCTGATCAGATCAAAGGATGCAGCCAAACCAAAAGAAAACTGCCTGCAGAGGTTTTTTTTTTTTAATTTTTTTTTTATCACAAATGAGTAAGTTATATATATGAGTATTGTAAGCTCAACTTACTGTATTATGCACAAACAACTGATACAAATAAGAAAATGTACTACAATCTACAGTAGAAGGAAGTAGTGGCCGTAAAATAGCCATTCACGGTTAGCTGTAAGGAAAATCATGAATAAGAATCTAAAATAACCCAAAGTAATCTTTTGTATGAAAACCAATAACCCATTTCCCAACTATTTCCATGAGAAAAACAACAAAACTCAAATAATCAACAGTAAGTAGTGAATCAAATTCATTTTGCACAAAAAAATAATAATAACCCCCACACACATAATAAAAAGTTGGAGAATTTGTGCCACAATTGCAAGGAAACACCCAAATAGATTTTATTTTTTTCAAAAAAACCAAACAGCAACAACTAAAATAGAAACTCCGAATCTGAATTATTTCATTTACCACAAAACCCTAGATATACACAAAACCAAAAAACAGAACTTTTGCAGTTCAGCCAACAAAAAAACACGGCTTGTAAATTGAAAAACCTCTTTTTTGAATTAAAAACAAAAGAAAGCTAACTATACCGACAAAACCCTACTGAGCAAAATGAAACCCCCAGAATCTCAATAATCCTAAATTAACACGAAACAAATCACTCACAAAGACTTTTAACTTGTTGGGTTGGAAAATCATCATTCACACACAACACACGATTTTTTTCAAATTAAAAATTGGGGTGTCATCAAAACCTCCAATTCAACACAGATTTTAACCCAAAATAAAAAAATTGAATGAAACCCAGAACAAATGAAACCCAGATGAAGATTCACCTGCACAGAACAGAAGAAACTTTCAAGGGTGCGAAATGAGAGAGAAGAGAGTGAGAGAGAAGAGAGAGAGCGATCCCTCCTTGGAATGAATGAATGATTGATTGGTGGAACTTTGAAACAGAAAAATTTAATATTTATTTTTAAAGTGGGAATTACAATGGAGACGCCATTAATTAATTAATTTTAAAAAATAAGGTTATTTTATGGATTTGGATATTGTACTACTGATTAATCAAATCATTAATTGATTAATCCTAAATTAGGTTTAAAAATTAGTATTATTTTGAAAAGACGTGATGCATAGTCCAGATCTCCTGAATTTGTAGACGTTGGATTCTTGGTGTCTACCTAAAATGGACGAATGTTCCACGCGCTCTGGGTGAACGTGAATGACACATTCTGTTTAGCACCGTATGATTGATTAACGGTACAATGTTTTCAAAATAAGAAAAAATCAATTTTAAATCTTCTCTTTCTTTTTATAATAAGTATTAAATGTATTTTATGTTTTTAAGATAATATTAAATGCATTTATTTTTCATTTAATATTTTTATAAAGTAATAGGTAAAAATTCTTAATATCTTTAAAATAGTATTAATTGTATTTATAATTGTTAAAATATTAATGGCATTTATAATTATTCAAAAAAATTAATTTCATTTATTTTTAATTTAATATTTTGTATCAAATAATTAAAAAAAATTATTAAATAATATAATAATAATATTACCTATAGAGAAAATGTAAACATTTAATAATAATAATAATAATAATAATTCCTCCATTTTTTTATAATCATTATTTAAGATTATTTCACACAAATTTAAAGATGTAATAAATTTTTTTCTATTTTCTATAAAATAATTTTACTATTTTTTATTATATATATATAATAAATACATATTAGTTGTAATGTGAAAAATAATTAAAAATTATTTTATTTAGGATATAATTAATAATGCAATAATTAATGTTACCTTGAATTTTAAAAATAAAAAATAAATAAAAATAAAATTTAATTAAAAAATGACTAGTAAAAGAAATAGATGAAGTATTAATTACTTATTTTTCATTCATATCATTGATAATATTCTTTAAAAGAAAAGTAATTATTGTATAACAATCATTTCTAGTAAATAGGGATGAAAATAGGTAAATTTGTAAATAAGAGATCTATGGTCTGACCTATTTAAAGTTTAACTTCAATTATTTAATAAAAAAAACATATTTTAAGTTTTTAAATATTTATTTTAAAAGGTTGAACTTAGCTTTACAAAAAAAATTGTTAGATGTAATAAATCAACCTATTTATCAATAAAATAAAAATATATACATATTACATTATTAATAATATAATTAAATAAATAAATTTATAATACAAAAAATTAAATTTTCAATATTTTTAACATTTACGCTAACAACATTTTCGTCTGCTTCTTTCATCTTCATGATTAATTATTTAAAATATTTTAAATGAGATATATGAAATATTTATTTTTTTTAAAATATTATCTTCTTTTATCGCATCATATGCACGATAGTGTACATGAGTATGATATATATGAATTGTCCCTCTTACTTTAGTTTTTATTTTTATTTTAAAATAATTTTTAATAATAATAATAATAATAATAGAGTAAAATATTTGTTTATCATGCAAATTAAAAAAGACTCATATGCATATAAGTCAAACTTATACTTTAATTTTATAAAACATATTTAACTTGTATATTCATGATAAAGACTCTCTACCTAAAATTTCAAGTGCGGAGTTTTAGGGGCCTCTCTTTTATCTACGTCAGGCACAGGTTATGTAGCACTAGGTGTGGATAAGATAGAAAGTTACTTGCTCGAATGATGTTGGGAGCTAGGTGTGCATGTTGGGAGCTAGTTGTTGAATGGAAAGTTTTTGATTGGTTGATGAATTGTTGGATATAAGTTGAGTAGATTAAACTATTGCATGTCGTAAGTTGCTTAATGTTGATTATTATTATTATTATTATTATTATAATATATTGATATCTTAGGATGATTAAAGATGGTTGATGGTTGTGTAGATATGATGAATTTGCATGATGTTGTTGAGTTGTTAAGATAAAGAATGTTGAGAATGTTTTAGGCATGGTGTTGGCCAACCTAGAAATAGAGGAGAAGTTACTTTAAAGTTGCGAATCCCATTATGTTGATATTGTGTTATAGTGCTTTAAGAGCCCAACTTTGTTGAAAATCCTTCTTGGAAAGTTGAGCCTTAAGGAGGACAGTTGAGTGATAAGTGTCAATTTTACCTAAATGATTTAACTCTTTTGAAACTTATTTAACTAGTTTTGAAAGAAATTTGTGTTTTATCCCTAAACTATTACAAAATTCAAAAGTGTTATTTAAATTAGTTAGTTTATAGAAATTTGATAGAAATTTTACTTAAACTCTTACATGATTTAATGAAGATCCAAAGTCTCAAAAAACTCCAACTTGATTAGGTATTTGGAAAAGGGTTGAGCCCTTTTGAAAGGGTTGAGTCGTTTTCGAAAGGCTAAGACCTTCAAAGGCAAAAAATAAGATTTGAAACAGAGGTTAAATCACTTAGCTATTTTAAAAGGGCTTAGCCGATTGGCTCTACAAGGGTGCAAATTTTTGGTTTCCCTAGGGCTCAACAAATTCAAAAGGGCTTAGCTATTGAAATTGTTTCACCATGAAGAATCCTCCAAACTGCTCAGCTATTTGGAAAGGGATGTGCATATTACTCTCTCTCCTCCATACTCTGTTTTATTTTGTTGCACATATATAAGGATTTGGGAGGAGAAAGAAAAGGGGAACTACAGAGACTTGAGTGAAAATTACAGAGCAAGCAAGAAGTCCAAGAATTAGTTGGGAACCGAGTCTAGGATCTTTTTTTCTTTCTTATACACCTTCTCCACATATTTTGGATTAGCTCTCATCACAATGAATGGCTAACTTTTCTTGTTGTTTGGGTTGAACAATCTATATATATGTGTGTGTGTGTGTGTGTGTGTGTGATAATCTATTATCCAGTGTTAGTGATTTTGATTATGTTTTTAATGCTAAGGTGACTTGATCACTCATCTTTGAACTTTGATTTGGATTTTGGTTGGAAAACATTTTCTAAATCTGGTTTCGAATCAAATCTCCAAACAACTCTAAAGACTAGGAATAGATTTGGAGTTGTTAGTTGAACAAGTTCTTAAACTTAATGCAAGGTTTCTAATTTGATAAATAGAGGAGTCATTTATTGAGTTAGAGTCCTCATAATTTCTAAATGCAAGGAATTGATTTGGAATAACCTTAATGAACTCAATAACATTGGATGATAGAAATTATATATATATAGATAATCTTAGGAGAACATAAGGGTGAAATTAGTGAAACTCAACCCCAACAGTTTTTCATACTATTGTCTTCCCATGTGCTTTGTTTGTCATATTTTTGATGATTTCAAATATTGAACATGAAAAACATCACGCTTATGATATCTATGAATCTTTCTATTTTAAGGTTTTACTAGAATAACTGAAATTATAAGTATCTTCCAAGTCCCTAAGGTTTGACAACTCATACTCTTTTATATACTATAGTGACTTGGTAGGCTTGCCTAAAAAACTCATCATTGAATCTCCTCTAGGATCTTAGGTGGTACCGTGTGTGGGCAAAGTCGAGGCAGACGTGTATAAAGTGACCATAATAAACGGACAAGGTCAAGCTATATTGATTATGAGCGACAAACTGAGTAAAGTACAAAATTAAAAACTTAGTTCCTAACCGAATATCGGAAAGACATAGTATTTGGAGGATAATCGGTGGACTAATCTCATATGATACTTAGTTTAGCTAGCTAATGTCGTGGTAGGCTTATAACCAATTATTTTATCCTGATAGTAATACTATACTTCCTTATTTAAGTGGCTATATCCAAGAAACCAAGTTTTTGTGTTATGGATTGATATCCAATTTGTTGTTGATCTAGAAAGCCTAAAAAGACCACTTTGTGTTATTGGTTTGATAAGGTTAAGCCACTTAAATTGTTCACTCTATGATATAGGAGATCTCATAATTGAAATGCATGATGACACATCTAGTTGTTAAGTTGTATCTACTATGTTGTTGTGATGAACAATTTGAGTTATTGATGTAGTGATGCTCATATTGGTATTGTGTTGTAGTAGATTAAGTAACTCATGTTTATATATGCTGAAATGTGTTGTGATACTATATGTTGACAATGTTAAAGGTGCAATGAAGATGTGTTGATATATTAATGGTGTTGATGTTTCATGTAACACCCTAATTTTCACAAATTATATGAGAGCCCAAAGCCCAATAAGGGTGATTTAGTAGCCTAGAACGGGTCGTTCTAAAATACTAAAATTGCCTACAAATCTTAGTTGGGAACGGGGCGTTCCAAATTGGAATGCCCCCAAAAAGGCTTGTAACCCTAGTTGAAAACGGGTCGTTCTGGTTTAAGAACGTTTCGTTCCAAACATGGTCGTTATGGGTTAAAATGCAACCCCAGAACGGGTCGTTTCAGATTTGAGAATGGGTTGTTCTGGATGAGGATTTTACACATGATGAATGAGTCCAGAATGGGCCATTCTGGATTTGAAACGGGTCATTCCGGCCACTCCAGATGCCTATAAATAGCACTCTTTAGCACTCCCAAAAACATACTTTTCAGTTCTAACTTGTTTCAGTTCTGACTTCTTTTCCTTCTACATTCTCTGAAGACCGAGGGGAACCTAGAGGAGTAGACCAACCAGATCCTGCTTTAGTTTCAGCTACTGCTTATCGAGCTACGGGGGAAAATGGGAGATTTATGTGTAGAGTTACATGAGGGAATGGGTGGAGAAGAGTTCCTGTGGAATTTTTAATGATTTTATAATTGTTTCTGTTTGGAGAATTATTGGTATTATGAGATGTATGTGTTTAAGATTAGGAATATGTAAATAATTTGTAAAAATGATGATTTGGGAGAGAGAACGAAATTATAGAAAAGTGTCTGTGAGTTAGGTTTTTGAAAAATTGGGGGTTTTACTGTTTAAGTTAAGATTCTATTAAATTGGTGATTTAGTTGAGTATTATATTAATTTATAAAAGTTATTGTTAAATTATATGATAAAAATTGATGATCTAGATG